CAAAAATTATTTTCTTGTAGAAAGAAAAAAATCATTTGAGTTTGTTGTTACTTGTGATTTGAAATGCTTCTACCACAAGTTGCATTCATTGTATCTTGGGAGACAAGTGCCATAATCCATTAGTACTATTGTGGGGCAATTTTGTCTTAAGGAGAAAGCTTGTCTAGGATTTCTTTCATCTTTCATTCTCCTTCACTTCACTTCCCTTCCCTTCCTTTCATATTCTATTTTTTATATATATTGAGTTTAATTACGCTCCGACGAATTAAATTTAACCATTAACTTTGTCTATTACAAGCAACCCTTTCATGACACAAATCACCAACAATCTTAGGACAATTTTTTTGGTTGTTTGTTGAAAACAAATCATTTATCTTAATATTTGGAATAAGCCTTTGTGTGCTATTCTCCTCTTATTATTTTCTGTGTTGAACTTCTATTTTGTAACAGAAATGAACATCGCTGAGACTACTTCTAGCCAAACAACTAATGATGCGAATCATGAGGTTCCGCCTTTAATTATATACCTATACCAAACTCTCATATGCCACATGGGAAAAAAAGGAAAAGTTTAAAGGCGTGGACTTCAAAAGATGACAACAAAAAATGTTGTTCTATCTTATTACTTTGAATTTGGTAAAGTTCTTAAAAGAAACCATTCATGCGATACAAGAATGAGAAAAGAATCATGAATCGATTATTGCCTTAGATGTATGGAAGCGCTTGAATTTCCTTTGCAAAAAATATATACCATATGGTTTGGAAAATACACTATATGGAGTATATAGTTCAATGGACTCAACTAAAGATCTACAGGATTTATTGGAGAAGAAGTACAATATCGAGTATGCCGAAACAAAGAAGTTCATTGTTAGTAAGTTTTTGAACTACAAAATAGTAGACTCCAAGACCGTGATAAGTCAATTACAAGAACTTCAAGTTTTACTTCATGACATACATGAAGAAAAGATGGAATTCAGTTAATACTTCCAAGTTGCAGCCATCATAGAGAGATTTCAAGAACTACGTTATACACAAACTTAAAGAGATGAACTTGGAAGAATTGATAGTCCATTTGAGTATTGAAGAAGACAATAGAAAAATCGAAAGAAAATTTATTGTCCAATTTGGAGTAAATTTTCTTGAAACTGGTTTAAAGGTCGTCAACAAGAAGCGTCAGATTTCCAATTATGCACCAAGAAGAGACAATTCCAAGAATACCAGAAGTTTAAAGGCAACTGTTACAATTGTGAAAAAGTTAGACATCGTTCAAACAAATATCGAAAGTGAAGAAAACGGTACAAGCAAATGCGGTTGAAAGAAACACCCTATCCGAAGGGGCTAAGAAATGAGTGTATTTGCGATTATTTTCGAATATAACACGGTTGGTAATCCAAGGGATTGGTGAGTCGACATTGGTACTACCTGCAATAATTGTGCAGATGAGACCATGTTCTCAAACTATCATAAATTGAAAAGAGAATAATTGTTCATGGGAAAATCTACAAGTTCGAAGGTTGAAGGATTTAGAAAGATCACATCGAAAATGACTTCCAGAAAAGAACTAGTCCTCAATAATGTCCTCCATGTACTGGACATTCACAAGAGCCTGATTTTAGGGTCTTTACTTAGCAAGAACGATCTTCAACTTGTCTTCGTGCCGGACAAGTTCGTATTTATCAAAAATGATATGTATGTTAGTAAGTGCTATCTTAGTGAAGGAATGTTCAAAATGAATGTCCTTACAATTGTATCAAAAAAACATTATGAATAAAAATTTCAATTTTACTTATATGTTTGAGTTGTCTCATCTATAGTCTAGTCGATTAGGACACGTTAATTATAAATATGTGCGCAAACTTATAAATCAAAGTTTAATTTCGACGTTTATGATTGATCCTAATCATAAATGTGAAGTATGTGTTGAAACAAAGTTTGTCATAACACATTTTCACTCG